TGTGATCTCAAAAAAACAAAGTGGACTTAAAATATTAGGATTATTTCTCCATGTACCTCTTCAGCATGAAAAAACAGTTTCATTATTTTTTAGGTTTCACTGCTTAAAGATCCAATTGGGCTAACAACCCCCACCCCCCTTATTGACACATAATGGAGAAATTATTAAACTGTGTTAACCAAGATCAGCTAAATGTTGTAAAAACCCCAATATTTCAAGGGTTTTTAAAAAGGTTTATTTCTTGATCTTACAGTCCAATGCAAGGCTCTCTGAGGTGGAGGAATGGGGAGGGAGGGTCTCCTCCATGAGGGCGTTTGGAGTCCTTACATCTGGAGGTTATGCCATCTTCTGGGACTCTGGGGTCATCCTGGATCCTCTGCATTGGGCTGGCAGAGAAGGGAGGAAAGTGAGGGAGTGGAGGATAGAGCATGGTAGTGACGGCCATTGCTTCCACCCACATTCTTTTGGGCTGACTGTAAGGGAGACTGAGAAATAGAATTTAGCTGTGTGCTCACAAAGGAGAGGAAACAAGTTTAGTCAGCAACCAGCCAGTGTCTGCCATATAATTTAAATTAAAGATCACATATTAGCAGCACAGAAGCTGAATGTTATCCCCAGCTCTGGTTCCTTTGGGCTGGTAGTGAATCCTTTAAAAATTCAAATTAGCTTAAAAATTTGAATATAAGCAGAGTTCACACTAAAAAAAAAATCTCTTATTTTGTGGTTCTTCAAAAAATCAGAAGATCGCACAGATCTTCTGGACCAGCATTTCCACTTGACGTGATATTGCTGGAATGAAGTAACAGCTGTCCCCTTACCCAGAGGCCAGCTCTCCAGTTCACCCTCCAGTCTGCCTCACTCACTCAGCTGCCTGGCCTCCAAAGGGGCTTACACCTGCTTTCTCTGGTCTGCATAATGATTTAATCTTTTCGATATTTTATATCTTGTCATCAATATGTTAATAACAACAACTGACTTCAATAGATTGATTTGGGTCAGCAGTTGTTAGACTATGCTTTAATCATGGTGAAAACTACTAGCCAATTCTATCTGAAACTTCCTTTCTCCACAGAAGTAATGATCTAATTATGAAAGAATTGAGATACATATTTTATTTTTAGCCTAATCATTTGTTTAGTCATAATTCATAGTCTGAATAGGGATGATAATCTATCCGGAACACTGGCTGTTGAATGTGAAAACTTTGCTTTCCTATTTCTTCCTAGGATTAATGCTTGCTGGGCTTGTAATCTTAAAATTGTTTTTATGGACTAAGAGCACTTTACAGAAAAGCAGGCCTCAACCAACAGAACAGTCCTTGGGTTGATAGCAGAACAGTTTACAGAAATATAACCTACTTTATGGTTGTTGACCATTGGCTATTTGGGGGAGAGGAGTGAGGTAGGGTAGATTTGGTGTGTAGCTATAAAAACAAAATAAAACAAAACAAAACAAAACCCACCTTAAATAAAAGAGAGATCCCAATACAGCTCCTTTGTGTTTCTTTTAGTTGAATTTGAAATTGTTCCACAGTTGGCATTTGGAATATTAACTTACTTGGAAGGGGAGATTGTTGGGTGAATTTTAAATGATAGTTATAACTGCTTTGTTTCTTTGGAGAGCTCTGCACAAATATCTAAGAGTTGAGTGTTAAAAGTCTGTCTGTCATTCTAAAAAGAAGGAATAGATTATCAAACTTAAAACCAGGCCAATTGTCTACAAAGAAATTATCTCTTAATACCCTGGACAGGTGAAAAAAATCAACATACCTAAGGCAAATTAACGGTCACAAAATGAAAGTACAACATTATATTGAGAGCTTTATATCTTTTGTTTGCTTTTTTCTTAACTGAGCAGAGATTAAAGAATTATTTTTTAAGTCACCTGAGGGTTTTAATGTTCCTGGTAAATTTACTTGTGCATGTAATGGCAGCTTTTTTATTGCTTTTCAATTCACATGTCTGCATTTATATAGAAGTTGCATAAATTCTGTGGGAGAGAAGTCTGAAGTGGATTTGTAAAAATACCAACAAAAGAAATGACATTATTTTTCATTTTTATTTTTATTTTTCATTTTTAGTCTTGATTCCGGTGAGAGGAATAAGCTACTGGTTCAATTTTAGACTTAAGTCAGCCCTTGGTATCAGAGAATAAAGAAATAGCATAATCACAAATCCTGGTAAAGACAGAAAAAAATATCTCTTCTGAGAGATATGAGTGGAAATTTTTTTTTTAAATCACCTTGAATGACTATCAAGGGGAATTGTCCCGGGAGAAAAAGAAGTTATTGGATGATGTGGGCTGCAAGAAGCCCACTGGAGAGGACCAGCATGGTCCTAACTCACCCAGCTATAAATTCTCACCCAATGCTAGGAAATCGGAACTATTATCTTCTTGTTCCCGATGCGGAAACTAAGGCTCAGACAGACGGATCAACTTGCCCAAAGTCCATAAGCTAAATAATTAGGGCTGCAGGAGTTCAAGTTTAAGGTCTCCCAGGAATGAAAGTTGGAACTGAGAAAAACAAGGCATGAACGTAGAGAAACAGCACACCGAGAGAGAGACTGAGGTTGCACAAAAATGGACAGCAGCTTAGGTTTTTAAATGTGGTTTCCTCACTAGATGAATAAAAGGAGGACATTTCAAAAGACCTGAGGCAAAGTGGGCTGAGGGATGTAGCAATTCTCTCTCCAACTCCCAACTCCAAAGGCCAGGAGTGTGGGCTTAACCAGGGCACTTTTGTACCAGAAGGATACATGCTGGACAGATTCCAATAGAGCAATAACAACAAGAAAGGGAACAGAGATTTATCTGTTGGAAAGATACACAAATCTAAGTGCCTTGAGCTTGCTCAAAAGGGCAGGAGGGTACCATGGACGGCAACTCTTTGAAGTGTGCATAGCACTGAGGAGTGTTCTGCCGTGGGGGTGTACCTGGGAATTGGAAGTGATGAAACATGGACAAGAAACCTCTAAGCTGATAGCAGTAAATGTTTTTTGGAAAAGTTACAGGGTAACTCCTTCAGGCTCTGATGTTTAACTTTCCCTGACTCACTCCTTTTCTGAGATTCCAATGTCTCTGGAGGAAACCCCTGTCCTATGCAGCCCCCACTGCTGCATGAGGAGTGCTGGCTGGATTGGCCCGCAGGGATGCTGCTCCCAGGGGCATGGCCACGGGAAGCTCCAGATGGGCTGGGCAAGGTGACTCATTTGCTTTTCCTCCCATGGTCATTTCTATGAGTCACATGCTTTTATCCAGTCCAAAATATGGGAAAGTAACATCAAAAAGCCTAAGATGTTGTTATCAAATGTTTAATGAAAAAGAAAAATCCCCTTTCATATGATCCTTAAAGAAATGTGTATTTAGTCTTTCCATTTTGTTGCTATTGCTTTGATTTATCAGCATACAGGAGGTGGTTGAGGAGAAGGGAGGCTGCAAGCTAGACAGAGAAAGATTAAGGCAGCTCTGCACTGCTGCTCTGAGGCAGTGACCCAAGCTGCTGACCCCTGGAAGGAAAGGTCCAGCTCTGTCCAAAAGCAAGGACTCCTCTGCTGAATAAGACAGGAGTTCTAGTCAACTGAGTATTCTTCAGCTCTGTGTTCATAAGAAAGAACACAGTGCCCATGTTCAGTTGGCTGGAGACAGGGTAAGGTGGTGGGCAATGTGGAGCACGGACTTGGACATCAGATGGATCTGGATCTGAACCTTGGATCTGTCATCTACTAGCTATGTGATTTCAGGCAGGACCCTTGATTGCTCTGAGACTTAGCTTTCAGATCTATAACATAACCATTATAATAAAAATAATAGTAATGATAATGCTGACATGCCTACCACTGATTGAGCTGATACTCTATACCAGATATTGTTCTATAGACTTTACTGCATGTAATCTTCACAACAACCTTACAGAAAGGTATTAATATTGTCCCCATTTTCCAAGTGTGGAACCTGAGGCAAAACCAGTTTAAAGCCTAAGGTCATGTGAATAGAAAGTGGCAGAGGCAGCATAGAATCTGCCTCCTCAGGTTGCTGTGAGGCTTACTAGAGGTAAAGCAGCTAAAGGTATTAGTTCCAACTAAATGTACAACCATATACGTGCTTTTTTAAAAACTAGAAACAAGGAAAGGAGAACTCCCTTTCTAATTGCCCCAATTGTTACCGCTTTCTTTTTAAAATAAATGAATGAATGAATGAGCCTCTTTACTATCAACATCCTATTTAAGAGTAACCCACAGTATTCCTTATATTTTAACCCAAATTATCTAAAGTTCATAGAGATGATTTGCAAAAAAGCTCTAGCAACACTCGATACTAGGCTAGTACATATTCCGCAGCTCTATTCCAGAAACTGCTGTGTTCTGGCAGTCAGTCAAAATAAACATGCAGAAACCACTGAGAGTTTACTCTCAGTAAACATGTTTACAAATCCAGGCGCATACTTCAGAGCAAAATAAAGTATCTTCTCTACACACACACACACACACACACACACACACACACACACCTCTAATATGGTATTGAAGATGATGCTGAATCTTTTCCTTTCTTCCTTCCTTCCTTCCTTCCCTCCCTCCCTCCCTCCCTCCTTCCTTCCTTCCTTCCTTCCTTCCTTCCTTTCTTTCTTTCTTTTTCTTTCTTTCTTTCTTTCTTTCTTTTTCTTTCTTTCCTTTCTTTCCTTTCTTTTCTTTCTTTCTTTCTTTCTTTCTTTCTTTCTTTCTTTCTTTCTTTCTTTCTTTCTTTCTTTCTTTCTTTTTCTTTCTTTCTTTCTTTCTTTCTTTCTTTCTTTCTTTCTTTCTTTCTTTCTTTCTTTCTTTCTTTCTTTCTTTCTTTCTTTCCTTCCTTCCTTCCTTCCTTTCTTTCTTTCTTTCTCTTTCTCTCTTTCTTTCTTTCTGTCCTGAACAAACTTTCTTATCCTGTGTGTTGATTAGTGTATTAGTCTGGCTGCCACAGAACACCACAGTCTGGATGGCTTAAGCAACAGAAATTTATTTACTCACAGTTCTAGATGCTGGAAAGTTCAAATCAAGGTCCTAGCAGGGTCTGGTGAGGGCTTTCTTCCTGGTTTGTAGATGGCTGCCTTCTCACCGTGTTCTCACAGGGCCTTTCCTTCTTACATGTGGAAGAGAGGAAAGAGAGCCTTGTAAGGCTACCAATCTTATCAGAATAGGACCCCTACCCTTATGACCTCATTTAACCTTAATTACATCCTAAAAGCTTTATCTCCAACTACAGTCACATTGGGAGTTAGGACTTCAACATAAGAATTTTGTGGGGGACACAGTTCAACCCATGGCAGTTGATTAGTCTGAACTGAATTTTATGTAGAGGCCTACATATTTCAGAGACTCAATTATAATTCATTAAAATTTTCTATAGATTGTGGTCACCACTAGACCAGTAATTGCCAAAGGGCTGTGAATCAGGTGTTTGTGTAGTCCATGGACAGATTAAATGTAATAGATAAGATCTCTTGGTAAAGCAGAGTGAAAAGAGTCTCAGAATATAGGGTGGTGCTATCTAAAAATAAGTCTTGATGGCTATTGTGCTCCTAACACTGAAGGTATTTTGGAACATAAACAAGTTACCTAAAAGCAAAAGTTAGATCTGGAAAGGAAAGGGCCCATTCTGCTGAAGGAACATGTTCTTTCCAAATGGTTTGCATAATTTCCTATGTAGCTTTCATGTTACAGAAAACAAACACTTAGGTGTTTGGGTGACTAGGTAGACCAAGTTTCCATGTCTCGGAAATCTCACCGGGGCTGGATTAGTTTAAGAAATCTTGTTAACTTTCCTTCCATATGTCATTTAAAACTTTGGAAAATGTGAATGTGCTATTTTCTTGCTTTTGGACTTCTTTATTTTCTCCTTTTGACTAGGCATGCTCAAAAGTGGTGGTATCTTTGTAAATGGGCCTCACTGGGGGAGTGGGGAATGGGAGGAGTTGGATTTAAAAAATAGACTTTTCCAATTATAAAAACTCAGATAATAGTCAGCTTCTGGTGTCCAAAATAGAACTTATTTTTAAGGCTATTGTCTTGAGAGTAGATTTTCAAGAAAACAATTTATCTTTCTCCTTTAAGAAACCAAGATTCGGACACTCTATTGGTTCTTCCCATGGGGTAGAAAAGAATCATTCTTCCAGGACAGTAAGGCCATGAATTTGCTGTTTTATGGTGGGAGAGTGATAGGATGCAGGGGGAGAGTCCTGCTCCTGACAGGGGGTGGGGGCAGGGAAAAGTCAGATAAAAAAAAGCCTTTGTGGCCTAGGAGGTATTTGAATAGGTAGAGGGAGGGCTGATGGCAAAGAAAGCTGGCTTTCACTTTCTTAGGATCCCAGAAAGAAACTAACTTTCCAGCTGCCTCTAAACCAGTCTGCAGTATAAAGTACTCAGGCAGTGGAGGCCCTGAGGTTTTGTGCCTTGGTTTCTGTGTGAAAAGCCTGTGAACCTCCTGGGGCCCTCTGTGGTAACATGAAGGGTGATGAAGCAGAGGCTAGGTTTGGATGGGAGATGCTACAGAGACTCAGAGGGCCTTGGATTGGTAGGCAAGGCTTGCTGAGGAGAGTGTGGGTCAGCCTTGGAGTGTACCAGGCCGTGACCAACTTGTGAGAGAGAGATCACCAGTTCCCTGGCCACAGGCCAGCAGTCAGGTGACCCCCACTACTAGGCTCTGTCTCTTCTGTTTCACCTTACCCAAATTTTGTTTAGGCTGTTGTAAAGACGTGGTATGTTCAGTAGTGCTTCCTGCCTAGAACACTGGTCTGTTCCCCAGCTTACTGTGTAAGTTTTAATCATTCATTAAATCCCAGAAATGTGTTCACTCTTCTGTGAATTTTCCCAGACCTCTTTGTCTCCCATTCATTCTTCTCTCTTGGGGACCCCACGGCACCCATTAAGTGAGCGACCAGTTTTGGCATTTAATTGTGTACTGCCTGGAACTATTATTTCCACATTTGGATCTTTTCTCTTTCCAGTGAGACACCTAGTTTCTTGCAGCGAAGGTACTTTTGTTTCCCCATATATGAGACCATAAAGGAAGCAGATATTTAATAAATTCATATTGAACAAATGAAGGCATTTGACTGCCTCAAAGGGCTGGCCCCAGAGTTAATTTGATTCAGAAGAAAAGTACAGGTCAAAGGAATGCTATTGTTTTGCCATTTTCTTGTAGTGGAAAGTCCCAGCCAGTTATCAATTAATAGTGAGTATCAACAGAATTTATCTGGTGCTTACCAGAGGGTGACTTCTGAAGATAACTGCACAGACAGAGCTTACTGTGAAACAGGCTGAATTCTGCCACAATTTATTCCCTCTCTGGTCTCACACTAATCACTTAACTCCTGCCATGCCACACGTGGGGAAAATGTATTCTATCATCAGTCTCATACGAATTAACAAGCCTGTGTTCCACGTTCCAGAAGCACAGCAGGCTGATACAGATGTCAGTGGGATCCTGGCTTTGTGACTTTATATGCTGAAGGATCTTTGGGTGAAAAGCAATGATATAAACACAAAGGGACCATTATTAGGGTCATCATATTGACATTCTCGTATTGTATCAGGTCAGGGGAGGATGAGACAAGGGCAGGACTTGGGTAAGGGACAAGACATACTAGCAGCGGGAGCAACAGTTCGGGGTAAACAGTTGTAAATCCCCAAGGCTGGACCTTGTTAACATTTTACAGAATGCTTTGTCTCTTTTAAGCAAGCTAAAAAGCAAGAATGAATTCACACACCCTCTTTGGAGGTCAGTGGGATTTCTCTGTTTCTGTGGGACATCACTAATTAATCTCAAGCTAATCGGTAGCCTGCGGTTCACTGAGTTGGATTTAGAAACCACACACCATTTTGCTTAGCAGCTTGGGGGACACAGCTTAGGTAGAGGCAGCACACGCATAAAAATGACTGGTTTTCCCAGGGCTTCAAAGGCAACTCCATAGCTGGGTCAAGAGAAGCTACCCATCTCTCTTTCTGGTGCTCTCTTGGTGACTTACTTTTGTTCTCCCTACCTATTTGGCATCAGCACCTAGGTTTCTGAGGCTCTGAAGAGCAGCATGTTGCGGGTCATTTCTCCATGGGGGTAACTGAGGAAGGAAGTTTATTCTCAAAGCACATGTAGCAAGGGTATGATTCGGGGACAGAATAAAAAGTATTACTATTTTGTTGAACATAAATGGTCAAGGAGCTGATTTCAGTAAGAAGTTTCAGGCAGAAGTTTCAAACTGTCATGGCTGCCAAGTATTAAGGGTCAAGATGCCACTAATTCCCAGTGGATTAAAAGCACTGCTAATTTTTCTCAGGGACATTTCAACTTTGGAAAGGGTATCAATTTAGAAACACAAATTAAATTCTGTTTTTGAGATGAAATGAAGCCATAAGGAATTAAACAATTGGCCCATAAGTGGGATTTTTCTCAAATATTCCTTGAACTCTGTGTTCTAGAGAGGACTAAGTATACAGCATTGAGGGAGAAGGATAAGGAGGATAGCAGTTGAGGAGGAGGACATGTCTGAGGAATGTGGCCTCAGGACACTCAGGGAAATTGCTACAAAGGAAAAATCTGACAGAGAAACTGAATAAGTAAACTCAGTCTCTTGAGGTGTCTGGGCCAAAACACATTTTATGACTTTGATGATTAAAAAAATCTATATATTTTGAATGTTAAGATAATGAAGATCAAAGCTACACAATTTGGATGAAAAGAGGATTACTGTCATGTTTCAAGCTTTGGAAAGGAAATGATGGAATAACCTTTGGATCAAAGTGGCTGAAAAGTGGATATTTGGGTGCCTCAGAAAAAAAAGTCTTGCAGACCTTTACATAGAAAACTCATCATAATAATGTAGAAAAACACATGAATTCGTGCTGCATGGAATGAAGCTTAAAGTAGGAGTCTGCCATTAATGAAACAGGCACCATAAGTAAGATTATTTATGCATTGCTTATGAATCCATAAAATTATTAGATGAAAAATACACCACCATAAATAATAAGACTCTTTTCTATCCAGTTACTTAAAGAAGTACTTTAATATCTATTGTCTAATTAGATTCACATCAATCCTGAGAATTGTTAGAGCAGGTTTTAAAGATTTATTTATTTATTTATTTATTTATTTATTTTTAATTAATTTATTTGACAGAGACATAGCGAGAGAGAACACAAGCAAGGGGAGCAGGAGAGGGAGAAGCAGGCTTCCCGCCGAGCAGGGAGCCTGATATGGGGCTCAATCCCAGGACCCTGGGATCATGACCTGAGCCAAAGGCAGATGCTTAATGAATGAGCCATCCAGGCACCCCTAGAGCAGGTTTTAACCCCATTTTATAGTTGGGAAGGCAGAGCACAGGGAAGTTACATAGCTTCATAAGGTCAAGCATAGTTGATAGCATTTCCTGGACCTTGGCCTCTGGAAACCTTAACTGGGACTCTCCACCAGACTCTGAGTTGCCCTCAAACCAACTCCTCTGAAGTACTCAAATCTACCAATGAATGAATATCAAAAACAAAACTTCAAAGAACCTCAAGTACAAAGGTCACCAAGACATACTAACCACAGCCATGTTCAAGTCTTCTCCAGGCTGGCTTCAGGATGTTCAAATGAATTTCTATGAATGAAGAGGAATTTCTATGAATTGCCTGGGGTCTGAGATGGTAGTACATTGACTCACTATCTGCTGGGATGGCTTTTTGGGAATTCATTTGGCTTCAGAAAACAGGGCCTTGAGGGTGTAGGATGCAGGCTTTGGAGAACCATGGGTAAGACCCCTCCAGCATGCCAGACCACTGAGATCAAGCAATTGAGTGAGATTCTAGAGAGCTCATGGGCTCCTGAGGTGGTGCCCAGAGTTTGGTGGGAGAAGCACCTCAGAATGGGGATGGGCACAGAAAGAGGCAGTTAGAGAAATCCTGAAAAGGGTTTTTGTTTGTTTGTTTGTTTTGACTTCTGCCCGTCCTTGGGAACCATGGGATTATAACAGCACAGGTCTGAGGACAATCCACGCTGGGATTTGGAAGACCTGTGTGATTCTAGACAAGTCATGTAATCTTCCTGGGCATTCACATCCTCATCTATAAAATGAAGAGGTTGGACTCAGTGATGTCTTTTCC